GGTTACAAAAACCTAGTTGGTTTGTCTGTTTTGTGGAAATTTATTTTTCAGATTTCAGGTTTTCAGAGCACATTTTTTTAGATTAAGAAATGTGAGAAATTATTTTAGACAAACAGCTTCACTATGATCATTTTAACTCAGAAGTTTATGCAATGAACCATTTTTTGTCAATGTAGGGATAAATAATCAATTTGATCCTTCATATAAAAAACTACTGTTTTTTAGTTATGCCTTCTAGTTTTTTTAAACTACCATACACAGTTAATCTGCCCTGCTCTGTCTTTTACCAAAAAGCAGGTGAAATTAACGATTGTTCACACTTTTAGAACAGACTAATGAAAATTGTCTTTTCTACAAATCAGAATCACATCGTCTAATGCTTTTCCAGGGTTTTACTCCATATATTAGTCTCTCAAAAATATAATTTCTTGCTGCAGGGATTCTGGCGTCATTATGTGCATGAGAGGGACAGTTATGCCTCCTTAGTAAAAGAAAAAAAAAGGTCAACAATAATAGCTACCTTCCCCCTTATCCAGCCTGTCACTGATTGGATAGAAAAGAAGCCATTTGCAGTGCTGCAACATTACTTATTGTGTTTATTGCTGTATTATTTCTCTAGATGGCAGTGTGATTCAGATGTCTGGGATTTGTGCCATGTGCCTACTCGTTTCCTGAGTGCAGTTATGGCAAGACATTTTGATTATTTTGATTTTGAAAAATAGTTCTTATCTAACTTACAGCATTTAAAGCAGGTCATTTGTAATCGATAAAACATTGAAATCTGTTAGTCTACGATCTTTCTAATGTTTTCTTCAGCCATTTGCAAATATGTAAATTAACAGGCAAATGGAGAATTTTGCCTATCTTTGCTGAGCAATTCCTTTCTGTATATTGCAGAAAGAGAATTTACTTTGAGTATGTTAGGTTAATTGGTAACTCTAAAATTGCCCTTAGGTGTATGAATGAGTGTGTGCGTGGTTGTTTGTGTGTTGCCCTGTGATGGACTGGACCTGTCCAGGGTGTACCCCGCCTCTCGCCCATAGACTGCTGGAGATAGGCACCAGCTCCCCCGTGACCCACTATGGAATAAGCGGTAGACTGACTGACTGACTGACATTTAATAAATTAGTTTTCAGTAGGGGTCACTAATTTTCTACATTAATGTCTGTAATGCGTTTGCAGTACGATGCTGTTTGTAGAAACTGTACACATAAGAAATTATTTTTCTTACATTCATTCAAAAAATGAAACATGAGTCTTTAGTGCCCTCTTCTGGTTCGTATTGATATTAAGCAGAAATCCAGTTTTGTTCTCCATTAAACAGTGTATTCCTTGTCTGATATTCATTATTGTGGAGCATAAAATCCTCGGTTAGGTTTAGTTTAGATAAGTAACTATCAAAATTAGAAATGTATAAGCTTGAAAATACAGTGCATGGGAAAAGTATTAAATTATGTTTGTAAAACTATTTTAATTTTTTCCAAATACAACTTCAGCATGTTTTAAATTAGCTCATATGTGATAGTACAACACAAAAGTGTGTAGTGGATGAAAAATGATACTCAGATATTTTGACAAATAAATATCCGAAAAGTGTGGATTACATTTGTTGCCAGCCCCTTTCTCCTGACACTCCAAACTAAAATGCAGTGGAACCGACTACCAGCAGAAATCTCCCAATTAGTAAAGCAGTACTGTTAAATCCATCATCTGAAATATCAAGGAGTATGGCACAACTGCAAACTATTGACCCATGGCTGTCCACCTAAACTAAGAGGTCACAAAGGAGAGCATTAATTAGAGAAGTAGGCAGTCCCATGGTAAATCTAGAGGAGCTGTAGAGATGCACAGCTCAGGTAGGAGAATCTGCTGGCATGGCAACTATTAGTTGTGGATTCAATAAATCTGGTCTTTATGGAAAAGTGGAAAGAAAAAGCTATTGCTGAAAGAAAGCCAGAAGTCCACTTTGCCACATGCAATGTAGGGGACCCAGCAAACATGTAGGAAAAGATACTATGGTCAGACGAAACCCAAATTAACCTTTATGGGTCACATTCAAAACACCATATGTGTCAGAAAACTAAGAATGCTCATCACCACCATCAGCATCCTGCTGTGGGGATGACTTTATTCAGGAGGGTCATAGAAGCTGGATGAGCAGGAAAATCCTTGAAAAGCTGTTTGAAGGTACAAAACCCTCGAGACTGGGGCAAAGGTTCACCTTAGAGCAGGAAAAAGACCCTAAACATACAGCCAGACATACAGTGGAATAGTTTACATCAGAGGATACTTATGGACCCAGTCAAAGTCCAGACCTAAATCTAATTGAGAATGTGTTACAGAACTTGACAATTGATGTACCCAGATGTTCTCTATCCAATCTCACAGCAATTATTTTGGAAAGAAGAATGGGCCAACATTTCACTCTGTAAATGAATAAAACTGGCAGATATAGACAACAACAGATTTGCAGCTATAATTGCAGCAAAAGTTGATCTTACAAAGGATTGACTCAGGGGGCTTAAATACAAACACACATCATACTTTCCCAGATTTTTAGTTGCGACAAGAAAAATTGTAAACCATGTATCATTTTCTTTCCTCTCGTAATTAGACAGTAATTTATGTTAGTCTGTCCCAATAAAAATCCCAATAAATACATTGAAGTTTATTGTTCTAACCTGACAAAACATGTAGGTTTCAGGGTGTACCAAAAATGGGGTGTTGTGAACTCTTGAGAGGAAATCTGTACACTTCAGCATCTGCTGACAGCGGCAAGCAACACTTGTAAAGATTAGTAAACTGAATCCACTCAACCATGATTTTCCTGCCAAAACACAACCCAGTTAAATGCCACCAAAAAACCTGGCCAGATTGTCTAACAACATAATGTCTCTTGTGTGGAATAACATTTTTATTTCTGTCTGGAATAAGTAGAACTCTCCCAGGAACCCATGGCCTGTGTGACCCCTGATGCATGCATGTGCCATGTGGGTGTGGGATCCACAGTTTACTGCTCCAGGCCTGAGTAAATAGTGCAGTAATTCCAGGCATTGCTCTGAATGGCGGAGGAAGGAAATGTCCGTAATCAGGGTAACCTCACTGTTTCCCATAGCACAGTCAGGAAGTAAATGGGTTGCAGGGAGATGGCACTAAATGAATAGAGGGAGCATATTGGACAGATGAGAAATACTCCCTTTTACTATAAATTCAGTTTTTGCCTAATATTTTGTGAGTTATTGTTTTAGTCTGTATCTAAGGAGAAAAGATTGTTGGTTTTTGCTCATCTATCTTTTAATTTACTTTTTATTGCCTTATCATTTTGGGTGTAACAGACATTGCCCATTTGAAACTAGCAGTGCAAGCTTTATGATTGTGGCATTTATAGAGTGCCTAATGCCTTCCTGTGGTCTGGACTATGTTCTTACGGCCTGTTGCTCTGCCAGGCTCTCTCAAGGGTTACAGTGTTATTTTTACCTGTTATTCCAATGAACAAATATTGTTCCTGATCTTTTTTTGAGGACAAAATAAAAAAAATGGTTTGCATACCAATTGGTGGTGTTGATGGAGGGTACATGTTGGAGAGTTCAGGGGGAAAATCTTCAGAATTAGGCCTTACAAACAAAGCTTCTGGTGTTCGACAGAAAAACTCCTAGTTTTATGCTGCTGCATGTTTTGTTTATATCTTACAGAGTATAACTGCAAACATTAATGCAGCAATATTCATTATCTAGTGACTTGGAATCTAATAGATTGTCTGTCTGTTTGGTACAATGTGAAGCAGACGTCTTTGAATTTATAGGAAGTAGGCGATAGAAAACTTAGAATTCTTACTTTTATCAGTATGTCAACACTCGCTGAAGGAGGGTAAATTTAGGGTTGTAAATTTTGTCACTGTATTTCCACTCGTTAAGGTAATTAAATCCAATTTATTTAGCTGAAGCTGTATATCTTTGTACATGCATCTCCTTGTCGCCCAGATTCTCTGTCAGGTCTTTGCCAAATTGTTTACTATTTTTTAAAGACATATCCTAATTTGTGTTTAATCTGCTAAAAATGGCTTGTTTTCTCCTCACTCTTGTTTAGTCATCCACTTGTCCACTTGATTTAATTTCTTAAATTGCATGCTGCTTTGTATGTTGCAATGGTCAAGTACAAGAAGTGGACGTAAAATAAATAAAAAAGTCCAAAAATACAATTGTTTTGATCCAGACGACTTTAAAAAACCGTTTATCTTCTTGAAAACAAAGTATAATTAAATTATCCGTGGTTATTACTTCTCTACAGTCCTATATATGAACTGTAATGCAAGCATTACTGTTTTCAGGAAGCTTTTCCCTCCACAGCATGTAGTTCCAGTGTTCCTCTCATATTTCAAGGAACCACAGAGACCTGGTCTGCTCTCACAACAACACGATGAGATACAGCAAGTCAGTCAGGAAACAACAGGTTATTTTTGTCTGTGCCTGTCCCCCAACCTACCCCCTGCCACTTCTGGCTCTGTTGAATGAAGGGAAATAGAAGAGAGTCTATGTAATCTGAAACAACTCTGAGTAACAGCCACTCGAGGGTTAATTGCACTAATGGGAAAGTCATGGTTGTTGAAATCAGGGAATGTTGGCGGGGAAGTGTGACGGAGCTGCACACCCTTCTGGGTTGTTTCATGATGTTAAGGAAATACTGTTTAAGCCCCAGACACAGACATTTTTTTTACCCTAATCTAGTAGCTTGCTTTGGCTAATGGCTATACATTCAGCTATTTTAGCAGCTAAAGATGCACCTGCTTTAAAGTGCACAGTTAAGGTCGTTTCCTTTTTTTTCTTCTATTTGAAGAATGGTAAATGGACAGAGCTAATATAGCACCTTTCCAGTCATACAGACCACTCAAAGCGCTTTACACTAGAGCCACATTCACCCAATCACACTCACACATTCATACACCAATACGCAGATCGATAGGCAACTTGAGGTTAAGTGCCTTGCCCAGGGGCACATCAACATATGACAGGAGGCTGGAATCAAACCCACAACCTTCTGATTGCAAGACAACTACTCTTCCTACTGAGCTACTGTCGCCTCAGCTATTTAAATCCTGCACAGTTTTGCACATTATTCTTTATGTATGTTTAAATTGGTGTGTTGAGTTCCAGTTCAGTCACCTAATAATAACAACCTATTTTACACTGCAATGCAGAGTATTCAAACCACTTGAACTATTTTACATTTTGTCTTTCAACTATAAACTTTAATGTGTTTTACTGGGACAGTGTTTACTGGGACAGTACAACATAAAGTAACACAAATGTGAGGTGGATGGAAAATTAAACATGCTTGTTTATTTTTTTAACAGTAGAAATCTGAAAAGGTTGGATGGCTTATGTTTTAACCCCTTTTACTCTTACTCTCCTAAAAAAATCCACAAATTTTAATAGTAGGACTCCAGGTGTGTGTAATTTAAACTCAGTATGAGAAGTTTTGTTAAAGAATAAAATTTTGAAACAAAAAAACCTACTGTACAAAATCATTGTTTCGGTCAAATTAAAGAAGTATTTTATTTGTCTTCTCAAGTTAGGGCAAAGAACAAGACGAAACGTTTTTGTAAAGAACAAAGAAACAACATAATTAATTAAATAAATAAGTAATCCACATCATTTGCAGCCATATAAACCTGTACCATTGGTGCAAAATAGAAGAATTGATAAACTAAGCCTTTGTTGTTATCTTTTTACATGAAAACAAATTTGGCACATCGATCATCTACCACCCAGTAAAACATTGTTTGTGGTAGCATCCTCCCCAGGCATTACTTTTCTTCAGCAAAGACAGGAAAACTGGTCAGAGATGGGAAGATAGCTGGAGTTAGACACACAGAAGAAAAGCTATTGGAGGTGACAGGACTTGAGACTTGGGCAGAGGTTCACCTTCCAGCAACACAATGACCCTACCCATACAGACAGAGAAAGAAATGAAATAGTTTAGATTAAACATATTTATGTGTTAGAAGGGCCCAGTCAAAGTCAAGAGCTCATTTCAGTTGAGAATATATGATAGGGATTGAAAATTGATGTTCACAGATACCCTCCATTCATTCTGACTGAGCTCAAGCTACGTTGCAAGTTTCTAGATGAGCAAAGTTGGTAGAGAAAAACTGTTAAAAAGGGACTTTGGGGACCTGTATACGAATGCATGACACACTTTTCCGTTGTATCATTTCCTTCCACTTAATAAGTGGCTTACATGCTACTTTGTTTTGGTCTATAAATCTTGAAAATGTAAAAGAGTGCATCTTCATACATAATTTTTAAGGCAGCTTAAATGTTGGCTTGAACAACGTTAATAAAAAATAAGTGCTTGTGTTTACACCAGTGACAGATTTGATCATAATTATTGTACCTGCTTGATTCTATTGAGTGTCATGGGCTCCTGAGTGTGAGGTGAGTGTCGACTGAATAGATCGCCACTTACAACACATATCTGTGTGCAGTATCACAAAATGCTTGGAGGTGAGTAAAAGAATAAAGCCACAACAAAAGGAAATTCACTACAGCCAGAGAGAGAGAACATGCAAAACAGGCAAAAAGTTCCAGCTGACAAGAACCTTCTTGCTTCAGTTTGCTCACGGCCTCCATATTTGCTTCTGCTAAAACTTGGATGCTGTATGCACTCCTTGGGAACACTGTACATCTGCTCTGTTTTTGTGTTGATTTGATGTGGCCAACGCTCAGCCGTTTATAACCCCTTGCGGCTGCTGCTTGGAGCACAGCTTCAAAGGAAACTGGGAGCCTACAGGGATTTCCCTCTGGCTTTCCCATCTTCTGCACCGGCCTGCATGGAATTTGATGCAAGTGGGTGCTTTGGAGGCTTAAACAGCATTCATTATGTATATATATATATATATATATATATATATATATATATATATATATATATATATATATATATATATATATA